GAATTACATGGAAAGACAGTAGTAGCACTAACAATAGCCGTCTTCCTCATTCTTAATGTCTATGTTACTTCTTAAATAAGATCTTTCTTGATACATAAAATGGTTTCCTTAGAAGTGATAGTATAGCGAAAAAGCATATACCAAATGATATCATCAAATAATTAAATTCAAATTACTTAATGAAATAAAATACCTTCGTACAATAAGAGATCTATGTAACCAATAACATGCACAGCTTAATAACCAAATTTAAATCAGAAGCACGTAAACTTATCGTCAAGAATAATTAAATTCAGGGTTGTACTTAGCACGAGCGGTTGTGATAAAGTACTTACTCTCGCATGTTGTGCGGGAGCCGCTCCACTGGCCATTGCTTAGACAAGTCCTTATTTTTGATCCTTTCATTTCATAACCCGGAGATTTGCATTCAAAAACAATTCTATGACCATAGGTGTAGGCCACTCTTTCAATAATGGTTCCATCAACAGGTGCATTAAGAGGACCACAATCCACGGCTACAGCACAAGAAGAAAGAAAACCTCAACATCGGAACGGGTGGGAATTGGATATGGATGAAAATGGAATGGGATGGATGAAGGATGGTTGAATGGGTGGATGGGTGGATGTACGGACGGACGGACGGACGGACGGATGAATGGATGGGTGGATAAATTGATAGATAAATGGATGGATGGATGGATGGATGGATGGATGGATGGATGGATGGATGGATGGATGGATGGATGGGTGGGTGGGTGGGTGGGTGGATGGATGGATGTGCATGGATAAATAGAATAGAAAAATTCATTTGATCACGGTGACAAAAATTACAATACATTGCACTTCTGTTCTTCCCAAAAGCCATGAATTACAATATTACAATAACACTTTTTTATTGAGTCGAGCGCTCTACGAAATACGTTCTACTCAAAAAACGAATATATATATACTTAAGGTATTGTTATGTATATATATATATATATATATATATATATATATACATATATACATAACAATAAGTATAAGTATAGTTTAAGTATTTTTTTTTATTCATTCAATTATTATTATTCATCCCCGATTCTGATTGGCTAAAAGCACAAGCATAATTCACCATGAACAGCTACTGATCAACAAATATGGAAGAATCTTGCGATTAATTAACCGATGGCATCAAAAGTGCAGCTTCCTTGTAGGTTAATGCCCCTTTAACCGAGAAGACCTGGGGACGATGTTGAGTTGTTTTGGCTGTGAAAACAAAAATGGCGGACATTTCACTCGTTCTAAGAGTAAGAAGAACTAGGCGAAATAAAAGCTAAAAACATGGCAACAACATCAAAAAGACAACTGGAAGGGCGACATTTGCTATTAGGAGAATATTTGCGGAGCTGAACAACCCTAAACGTGCACTGTCGAAGATGAACTTAACATTGATGGAGGTAAGCATCGGCAAACACCCTCGAGGTCGAGGTTTTGTAATTTGTTTTTAAAAGCTCCAATGGATTATATATCGATGGTCCGATGTTACTCGAAAAACATTCTTCTAAAAAGTATAGTCTGGGGTCATACCATTAAAAATTTGAAACATCATAAGAGCTTTTTGTTTGTTTCTCCTATCTTTAAGATTAGTCCAACCAAGCCTACTTAACAATTCAGTTGTCAGGGTTTGGTAATCAGCACCTGTTATTATTCGTTTAGCCGCGATTTTGCAACTTTTGAAGTTTGTCGGTGAAACGTTCGCTGACAATACTACAATAGTCAAAGTATGGTTCGACTATTGACTGATTAACACATATTATCAGTTTGGAAGTAGGAACAAATCGCCTAATCTTTTATAAATCTTCTATAACAGATGATACCTTTTTTGAAACACTTGTAATATGGGAGTCCCACGTCACAAACTCGTCAATTTCTACAGCTACACATTTGCTACTGCTCCTTTTTTTTTTTTTTTTTAATGAAATTCCGTTTATGAGAAGAACGAGCTCTTCTCCTTGTATAACAGTAGCAATTCTTTGCCTCAAACCAACCGACATATATTCGTTTTTTAAAACCTTCAGAGTAAGTCTATTTGTTATCAGCCAGTTTTGGAGATATAGTAAATCTACGTTTATATCGTGTTGTAGCTCCGGGATGCTGCAAGCAAAAGAGGCCCAAGTATTGAGCCCTGGGAAACTCCACATTTTAGAGTAGATATTCTCGGAGAGTACCCCATTTATATATACAACCTGAAATCTGTTAAATGAATAAGATTTAAACCATTCTAAGGGATGCCCATGAGCTCCGATATATTCTAATGTTGTCAGAAGAAGCTAGTGATCCACAGTATCGAAGGCTTTCTTAATATCCAAAAACACAGCGCCATTGAACAGTCCACTATCTATGTTAAAACACCATTGATTTGTAAGATCGGGAAGGGCGGTTACTGTTGAGTGGAGAGAGCTAAAGCCTGATTGACGTGGATCTAATATATCATTTGTACTTCAATAGTGATAGATTTGCTCATATGCGTGCTTTTTAAAGACCCTGGATATGGCTGATAACACTGATATTGGTCTATAATTATTTGGATCCTTACGTTCACCTGCTTTGAATACCGGGGAAACCTTTGCCAACCTCCTGTCTTCAGGAAATTAAATGGATGGATGGATGGATGGATGGATGGATGGATGGATGGATGGGGAAAACCACTGGCAGAACTACAATTTAACCCAAAGTCATGGCCACGTTACATATAAAATATAAGACAACTGTTTGTCACATAAAATGGAAACATTCTTTGGACTTTCGATGCACATTGTCTTAAAACGCGTTAAACGCCAACCCATTGCTTACCATTACAAATGGGATCACTTCCACTCCATTTCTCGTTTGCCTGACACTGCCTGTAAGCTGGTCCCCTTAGTTTGTATCCCTCATTACAAGTGTACCGCACCTTCTCCTTGAACGAATACACGTAACCAATGATTTTCCCGTGGGAAATAGCTTTGGGGCGGCCACAGCTTTTAGCTAGTATATAACAGATCAATGAACGTAGTAGTTAGTTAACCGTTTTAAATTATTCAATGATGTACGAAATCCAAGTGCAATTTAGGGTGACATATATATAATAAAGTACTAACGCAAAAAAATATTAAAGCGTTTGTTCTGCTAATTTTGTTTAACATTGTCACAGTATTTTTGTTTTTTTTCACAGTTTCACCGTTTTAAATTATTCAATAATCTACGAAATCCAAGTGCAATTTAGGGTGACATATATATAATAAAGTACTAACGCAAAAACATATTAAATCGTTTGTTCTGCTAACTTTGTTTAACATTGTCACAGTATTTTTTCAGCCTGCTTATTTTGGGAAAATCCCAGAGGTACCAGGAACTAACTGTGTCCAGCACTTGTCAGCTTACATTATTGTAGGAAATCACCGCTCCTGTGAGTTTAGGTGCCTTAAATTAGTGCATACTGTCGTCAAGAAATGTTTTTGTTTTTGTGGGTTTTTTCTGTTTTATTTATTTATATTTATTATTTATTAAATTTTACTGTCACACAACGTTTTAGCAACAACTGTACTTGTGATCAAAGCTCCTTAAATAATACTCCTTTAGGTGAGCCACAACTAAAGTAGACTCGAGATTATTTAGTGAAGAGTGGCAATGATCGTAAAATTCGTCCAGCAGGTTTATACATTCCATAGAAAGTGCGCGCTATAAGTACTGTGTATACACCCTTTAAACGACCAAGACAAAAAGCTTCTCAAGAAAAACGTGTTTTGTTAAACTATAAGGACAACAAAGACGAAACTCACGTGAACATGTAATTCCTCCTGTCCAAATGTCCCCTTTCTTACATTTCATTGCTCCAATGCCACTTTTAAAATATCCATCTTTACATTTGAGTAAAATAGTATCACTGTGCTTAAACTTTTTCGGCATTTTTCGCGGGTGGATAACTATGGCCTCATCTGGAAAGCGAGGAGGGTTGCATCTTGGAACTGTATAAGAATAAAACAATATGACACGGTATTCAAATCTTATTATTTTATTACTTTGCAAACCATTTTTATGACACTACAAAGGGCGATGGAGCCGCTTTTTCCATTTGCAGGGCAAAGCACAGCGACCTGACACGCTCTGCAATCAGCGCTCTCATACCGGCAGAGCCAACCCTGCTGTGTTCATGCAGTCCGTTTCTCCCTCTAATTTTTCTCTCGATGTAACCCCACATCCTCACAAAGTTTACGGGGTAATAGGGAAAAGAAAGATTGTTTTTTTAATACTCGCAAACTTTTTTTTTTGCTCACAGGCTTCCATAGATACCTATCTCAAGGAACTTGAAAGAATAATAAATAAATAAATAAATAAATAAATAAAACGGACTGTAAAATACAAAAATTAAATTTTCTGCTCGTTATTTGTCCGTCAGTACTTCACTAGAAAAAATAATGATAACAAATAATATCATACATACGTTCACATTTCGGCTTGGAAGCACTCCACCTTCCATTATTCTGACACGTCATCCTGGGTGAACCCACTAACTCGTAAGCATCATAGCACCAATATATGACAGTCTTTCCCGCTTGAAACCCGTCATAACGCCTATTTCCAAATGCAATATCCCCTGGATCATCGCACATTACTCCTAAAGATTTTCAATGATACAATGATACAACAATGAGGGGGTCATAGAATTAGACAGTGTTCTACCCGTACTAAGCAGGTTAAATCACACATGTCCAATATGATTTCTTCCCCCAGGGACAAAGCAAACTGTCCATAATAATGAGGTGTCCTTTGACTGTATGTAAAATCAATCAAATTAAACCAGTTCACTCATGATTAGCAAACGGATTTTATTACTGCCACCTACTTTCTAAATAAACTACAGACTTCACTTTGGTCTAGTCGTATCAGGCTCGATATACTCACTGCATCTAGCTTTTCGTCCGTCCCATTGTCCTATTGCTCTGCATGTCCGTTTGGCTGAGCCACGTACTTTGTATTGTCCAGTACAACTATACGTCACTACACTGCCAAAGTTGAATCCTTTGCTTAGCCTCTGTTGCGAATTCTTCGGTTTAGGTGGAGGCTTACACTTAAGGTCTGAAATGAAACGTGGTTATTTAAGTGAAGTGAAACAGATCGTTAAATATAGATTGCCTCATATATTACAATGGAGGGTGCACTTGCCCTTTTTTTGACCTCTCTTTCTAAGGGAGCGCCGCAAATTGTATTTAGTCCTAACAAGTTCTAAAACAGCTTTTTGTCCTTTAAACAGAGTCAGAGTTTCAAATACTCAACACTTTTTTAAAGTCAATCATGCGACTTTATGTTCGATAGAGGTGCTTGCGTTATGAGTAAGGATCATCAAGGCTTGAGTACACTTTGTGTTGCATTTTGTACTTGAAACTTATCCATCACTAAACCCAACCTTTGGTCTTTCGGGTAGGCGTAAAAAGTGCCGTATAATAATTAAAAAGACTCTAAAAAAGGCGTCAAGTAAAATAAAAAGGGAGAGTTGAGAGTGCAAGTTCCCACTTTTTGTGCTTTCAGAAAGAAGGATAAAAAAGATAGAGGGTAGAAAAATGCAAAAGAATTGAAATGGATCATAAATCATGAACACCGTAAACTGCTTTTTGTTTACCCGTAAAGCACTTATTTTTTCCTTTTAGTTCTTTAACATTGGGCCCGTGGGGCCCGAAGGGAAAAAAGAGGTAAAAAAGCAGCACCTTTCCCAATGATTGTAGCTCCGGTCTATGACGACTAAAGGACTGTCGTCTGGCTTAGCGCATACAAAGAGTATTTACTTTTGTGCGAAGCCTCCAGCTATGATACTGAACACACCTAAACAGCCAGGGATCTTTTCCCCTGCTTTTCATTATATTACTTTTTATTTGACGCCAAAAAAATGTGCTTAATTTCATGGATTATAACGCTTTCAGGGATTTCAGGGCAAAAAAAACTATAACCTTTTCCCAGAGAGTCTATCATCATTATTAATAGGGATCGCCTACGTCACACAAAATACGCAAGGCAATCGTTCCTTGATTTCCCACATTGAGAAGAAATCGGAACTGTGCTCGATCTTCATTCTCATTGGACATCGTGTGTGTGTCATTAGTCACGCGTTCAATCAGCAGTCACGCATGCACACAAAGAAAGAAACAAACAGCCCAATATGATATATTCCGCCAGTAGTTCTACCTGAGTTGTAATTGGTACACAGTGAAGAGCCGATACATTTTAATTCTAATTTTTCTGGACAATTATGCTGCTGAGGCTGTGCTCGTTGATGACAATAGACTGTCTCGGTGTCGTCAGTGCATGGCGGCGTGTTAAAGAAACAACTACACTTAATGTTTAGTAACTTACATCACTACCAAAAGATGAATACTATTATTATCAGTTAAACATGATCACTTACTGTTTCTAACGCAGCTCATCCCACAGTCTCCATCGCATAAACACTTCTCGTTTGACTTGCAGTCACCGTTCAATCTGCAAGTTCTCTTAGTACAGTATCTAAAAGCTTTAGAATTTGTTCTAGGACACTTCGTCGATTTCGCAGAGTCTAAATAAAAAAGAGCATTGTATTTTATGTAAGACATTGATAAACCAAAGACTGCGGTAGAAGGAAGTAAACAGTGAACGTAAATCCTCACCTTTTTTTCTGTTCTTGCGGCAGTCTATTACAGGATAAATAAGGGCCAAAATAACGAGTACATGGACCTTTTTCCACATATTTCACACAAGTTACCATCCGACTATAAGGACTCAAAGAAGCAGTTTTTTCGTGGCGACTTGATTGCGAAGTTGACAACTGAAACGCTTCGCCACAGGCGCTCCTCAAATTACTGTCATTTCTGATTACGTACTGTCACAGCTAAACAGGAACACGAAGAACGTGATGGGTTTGGCGTAGCTGAAATGCGGCTGAACCTGATATCCGTATGGGTATCAAGCCATGTCTAGCTAAAGATAGAAGTGTTGGAAATGTTCCAAAGAGGAGGAAGGAGAACTATGGGTGGTGGGTCCAGTTTATCTTTCAGGAGGGGAGTTTACAAAGCTTGATTCCGTCAGACATGTCTTAGTGGTGGTGGGAAGGGGTGTCGACGTTTTGTGAACAGATGGGTCGGGATTAACTTTGGGGTGTATGGCGGGTGGGGGTGGTGCTACGCATTTTTGGAAGTTTTTTGTAGATTTCGAAACTGAATAACATCTCGTGCCATGACAAAGCACGTCCTTAACGTTGGTTCTTTCCGGTCTCCGCTGAAAGGGAAGAGGAAGCATTGCCAGGATTGCCATTCAGGATGTATTATATCAAAATCGTAGTTGTATATTGTTCGTGTACTCTGTTTTATTTTACCTTATTTCATTTGTCATTGTATTGACTGTTTTGGTACTGAAATCTTCATGTCGAAGATAAAGTCAATAAAGTTATTGTGGTGCTATTTTGATTTCAATTAATTTATTTATTTGTTAAACTTATCATTATTGTTCTTATTATTCTCTCTGTATAAGTAAGAAATTATTTCTAAGTCAGTTAGAACTTTAAATAACTTCCCTACCATTTTACTTTTAATAGAAGTCACTTCCTTGCTGCTCCATCTTTCACTCAGCTTTTGTTGCATCTAGATAGTTGACACCATTTACTCTAGTTACGATTTAATCGCTGCTTAATTTAACGACTATTTGACCCTTCAGCTAGGTCAGGGAAAGTAAAACAAGTGAAATACCAGCCTCGTTCCCAGGGTTTTCTCCTACCCATCCCTACGGAGCGAAGGTAGGAGAGAGAACCTGGGAACGATGTTGGTGAAATAGGCGAGCAAGCAAGCTCAAATCACTTCCCTGGCTTTTTGTCGCGTGCGTGGAGACTTTGAACGTTCGCACAGGAAATAGGGTATTACAAACAAATGGAGTCTACAGCTAATTATGATTACCTTGTGGGAAGGGGAGGTTAACCTTATATGGGCTGTATTGAAAAAAGGAGGAATTGTATTTTACAACAGTTAGCACAATTTAGCACACGGACGCTGCGTCAAAACAATTTTCTATCATTATTATTACTATCTCGCAGTATAAAACTTTGGAATGCTGTCCACATTATGAGTAGTATAGGGCGCATAACGTAACCTACACCACTTGAGAAGCTTACTTAGAAGTAAAAAAAGGTCGGTACGAAACCTAATACAATCTTAACATACATAATGATATGAATCTCTCTACTTAAAAAGCCAATTTAGAATATTATTAAATTCTTATACTCTGTAAAACCTACGCAGACATGATGATATAATTATCTCTACTAGAACCCTATTTAGAAAATTATTCAGTTTTTATACTCTCATTATCTCTTATATACCTAAACGAGGCCATCATCATGTGGTTATCTCTACTAAAAGCCTCTTTAGAATAATATTAAACTCTAATACTTTATAAAATTTAAGTAAAAACATCAGCAAACTTGTGTCTCTGGATTTCTAGAAAAAAACCTAAACCTAAAATGTGGTCTCCCTAGCGCCCTAACTAAGTATTTATCTTAAATGTTCTGGCAATGTTCAAAGTGTTGAGATGACCGACTTCTGCATCTGCTCAAGTACGGTCCGTGCTCGCGCTCCTAGTAGTTTCCTCACCGAGTTCTCTAGGTGTTTGCAGTAACCACCCAGTACGTCAATTATTACGTTGAACTGTTCAACCCCGTAACCATTGTATCTCTGCTTCAGCTGCCACATCGTGGGCCCATACTTGAATGTCTTTCCCTCATCTTTCTTGGCTCTACTCTCAATCCATGGGCAGCTCATTTCAATTGTGCAGACTTCTTTCCTCTCGTGGCTGACAAGTCGAGCGTCGATCCGATTGGTTCTAACTTCGTTGTGCTCTGCATAGATGGGAATATCCCAAAACGCCTCACTCGTGGTGTTTTGGTAGGCCGGTTTTGGCATCACCGGTGAGTACCATGGTGGAACCTTTTCTATTAACCCATGCTCTCGCAGGAGCTCAAAAAAAAGAATCTTCAAAGCTGCATTACGCCTTTATAGGTACTTGGTTTGCGCCAGGGAGGAATATCCAGCCAGTACATGTGCAGCGCTCTCAGCTACCTTCCCACATAACCTGCATGGAACTTCGCCGTCGGAGGAGGTTTTCGTCTTCTCCTTATTATCATCATCATGATCATCATCATCATTAGTATTTCATAAGTTTTTGCAAGAGAGAAGATTATCCTCTCTTGGTTCTTCATACGCGTGGTGGGGTCACTATCACTGGGGTTTTGAGAGCCGAGAGGGGAAGATGGAACCTTGTTTGTTTTTCTTTTGTTTGTTTGTTTGTTTTTCACAAAAAACAAACAAACACGAGACACACAAGTAAACAGACAGACTAAACTCAATCATTCGGACAGACAAGCCTATAAAAATAAACCACCAGATGATAAGTAGTTAGACAAGCAGGCATGGAGTTCTTGGAGAGATTAAGTTTACATTGGAAATACATAATACACAGTAATACCATTCAGACATTCACATTACATTTGAACAGGGAACACTTTCATAGAAAGCTTTTTGACCTCGATTGCATTTTATTAATTCACGAACGTACCCACAATAAATACGTTTGGAAATCGCAATCCTTCCGTCGTCTTTCAATTGGCATTGTGGTTTATACGTCGATACATCTGTTACGTTTTTTTTTTCTTTAACACGTGAATCATTTACAAAACTGAAGTAATAACCTTTGCTTTTAACAACAGTTACTTTTTCTCGTTAAACAGTGTAACTTACCGAGTACTTTACATAAACTGACTATAACGTCAGCACTTGACCTCCAAAGGAGCAGTGATTACACGGGGATAAGTACCAAAGTACTGTTAAACACTCAAATTTGAAACAAAATTCAATTAACAGAACATGAAACCTCAGCAGCATAGTACGGAGATATAAACTAACCGTCTTATACCATGGTGCGGATATAAGTTGTTGGATTGTAGTGCTTAATGGCTGACTTTCTAACATATCAATATATCATGAGCGTTTCTGCGGTGTAGGTTTAAGAGGACAAACCAAGTTTTCAACTTTCATCACTTTTTTGGCATGTGTAGCGTATATGACGAAATATGTAATAGGCTCTTTGCATGACTTGATCACGTGATAAACGTTCGGTAAACACGAAAACAGTTCCCTTTTGAAAAATTTTCTTAGCACAAGCTGACCATATTAAAATTAGGTAACCTGAGAATGTTCAGCCCTATATCTCAAAAGTAGCGATTGCAACGGCCGCCGAAAGTTGGAGGCTTTGAATGAGAAAAACAACTTTTGCCATCCGGTCACCCTTGCATGGTTTTCCATACAAATCCTTGTAACTTCGAAGTCATGAAATATTTCCTTAAGCATTTTAGTGTTCAAATCTCCTTTTAATTCGTAACGGGCAATTTCAGCCCTTAAATGCGTAAGGGAAAGATTTAACGACAGTTTAAAAATAGTAGAATTTCAGGGGCGGATCCAGGATTTTTTTTTTATGGGGGGGGGGGGGGGGCACTCGTCTCTTGCTCTACTTCAACACCAATAAACCAAATTTTTTTTTTTTTTTTTTTGCATTGCAGAATACCAGTTGTATAAGAAAACCGCAGGTCATCTCGGGGGGGGTTGCGCACCCCCTGCACCCTCCCCCTAGATCCGCTCCTGAATTTACAAGGATTTGTATGGAAAACCATGCAAGGGTGACTGGGTAGCAAAAGTTGTTTTTCTCATACAAATGCTTCTAACTTTCGGCGGCCGTTGCAATTGCTACTTTTGAGATATTCGGCTGAAAATTCTCCGGTTACCTAATTTTAATATGGTCTTTCAGCTTGTGCTAACAAAATTTTTCAAAAGTGAACTGTTTTCGTGTTTACCGAAAGTTGCTCACCTGATCACAGTCATGCAAAAAGCCTATTAACACAAATTACCATGGCAGAGTGCGTAAACGAATGAAAACGCGCCTCTTTCTCTCGTATTGCTGTTTTTGTTGCAGTTGTTTGATTGTTTGTCATGTCATGCTGATAATTGTAGCTATCACTCCATTGCATTAGTTGTTTCATAGAGATGGTGACCGGCCGCAGTATAAACCTCTGTGTTAAGAATTAGCTGGTGGTACGCAAAAGCGCACTGAAAGCCGACAGGTTTGTTATCTTAACCCTTTCGTTGAACAATTATTGGGCTCACTTTTTGAACTGGAACCAAACCTTTTTTTAGAGTAACATTTTATAAGCTATTTAAAATTGCCTTTGCCTCCCTATCAGTTTTGTTTTATTATTTAGATCTAGAAGAACCGTCAATTATAACCATAACAGTGAATGAGATCCCTAAGTGAACAACTAAGTTGACTAAACTTAGTTGTTTCTTAAGACTTGAAAATGGTCGTTATGTTCTGGTGGCAGGATGGATAAACAGGCAACGTTAAATTACCAAATCAGCTTTCTGATCACAAAACAATCTGTGAATCCAGAGTTTATATTATTGAGTTGCCAATTTTTGTCCACTTATTCACTGGCCCCCTTTAACAATAGATCTGATCCACTTTCGATATCGGGACACTCTTGTATAATAAGCATACTTTCTTGGCTTCCCACAGCCTTCACTCCATCCGAATAATCCAATCACATTCCAACGCCCTGACCGTGGATTCTGCATGACCAGGGGACTGCCGATATCTCCAAAACAAGGATCTTTAGGTTTCCTCTTAAATCCGGCGCACAGCGTGTCTTCTTTGTTATAAGAATAAATAGTGGCCTGCTTACACTCTTTATCAGGGATTATGGGAACAGTAACTTGCCGCAGCTCTGCAGACAATGGTCCCGGTGATTCCCCAAGTCGAATTGGTTTCGTTGAACCCCATCCTGCCACGGTCCCATACTGCATCGGCTTTTCCAAAGCTTTGTCTCTTTTTCCTTTTGGAATACATACCTTCAAGCGAAGACAGAAGGAAAAATTATATGACCATACTCAGCGATAATAATAATTATAAAAGTAAAATATAATTACAATAAAACAATCTCCCAGAATCTTTCGAGGCAATTTTTTAAAAAGCTTTATAACTTTGACAATTTTATACGTAGAAGACCACAACAAGGTAACATTTACCATGAAATATCTTCCCATGTCACATCTTAGGTAATGACGTCATCAGTCACGTGACTATTTCCGAATTAGGTTTTTTGTTGCTGTCACAAGATTGCATCAACGAGTTAAAAACAAATAGCGTATTTGAGGCATTTAAAAATAACCAGTTGACGTCCAGCATTTGAGATTTTAGGAGGTAACGAAAATGAGCGAAAAAGTCGGGAGACTAGGCCGAGGGCTGTAGAGAGTCAACCTTTTATAACACGCAGATAAAATTTGCCAGAAAGTAATGTTCCACCTAATATTTTTTTCATGACCAAAGGAGACTTATGACGTCCTCAGTCACGTGATCAAAGTTTTTTTATTGTTTTAGTTCGTTTTTAAAGTACCTTTTTTTCATAAATTGGTAGGTTTTTGCTGTTTTTTTTTCTCAACAATTCTTTACATTGTATTGTCTCTGAGTGATTATTATTCCATTTTCAAAGACAACCAAACAAAAACTGAGCCAGAAGTTTGAAAGTTGCGTAAATTGACCGATATTGCAAATTAAAATCGAAAAGGATACCTTTTTCAACTTAACTGTTTGTTTGCCGAAATAAATGTTCAACGTTTGTTAATAAAGGAGAACTTTAAAAGGTAAAAGGATGTATTTAGCGGTCATATTGTTTTTCTTCATTCCGGGGAGAGAGGCCATGTTGCAGCTCTTCTAGCCCTAACACCCAAATGGTTTGCTACCCTAACCTAAAACAATGGAAATAATGATGAACAATGTTGCGTTAATGTTTTCCCCGACCGATAAAAAGACACCTTACGAGCAGGGAGAGAATCGTACGGTCATACTGTTCAGTCGGTAGCCGCGCCATCGACAGTTGTAATAAATTTCTTCAACGTTTCCTGGCATGGACCAAGTCTGAAAGGGTATTAATGGTTTACGTCAAGCTTCGATCAGTTAAAGATTTAATTCTGCAAGGACAAAAAAAAAAAAAAAAAAAAAAAAACGAAACAGTCATCCTTGAAAACTGTCAGTCACCATAGAGGAGAAATATATACCTCTTTTAGACTCGAGCTGTTAGTGTTTGTCAAAAAAAAAAAAGCTGCTCCTAGAAAGCTAACTTCGCCTTGATGGATGCACAAGAAGGTTGAAAAGTCTAAAGCGATTCAGGCCTTACTAGATGGCTTTCCGAGCTTCATCTCGACCGGTAAACTTGAGTATTTATATTGCATTTGATGTTTGTTTCTTTGTTTGTTTGTTTTGTTTCATGAGCATTGTTTATGCCGTCATTTTACGCATATTTGTAAGATTTGAAACAATGATCTGACCTAGTACAGAACTTAAAAACGTCTTGAGACATTCTCTGACCGCGACTAGAAAGAAAACGTTCTGAAGAATAGTTTAGTCATCCTTAATGTTGAAAAAAGAGAACTTTGAGCGATATTCTTGCCTGGAGTTCATCTTGAAAAATAACAGACACGGCTAAGGCGGCTTAAAACTTAAGGCTTAAATCTACTAGATTTTATTCGTGATTCAGGATTTTCATGGACATTGCACTCTCAATACATTTCATCGTCAATAAAAATTATTGTCGTTTTAAATGTTTCACTGAATTATATTTCTAGTCTTGATTGTTTGTCGAGATCTCTTTCGTATCGCTTTGCCAGTTGTTGTTTTCAGTCGTCCGTGAACATCGCACGAAGGAGTACGTAAAATGCCGCGTTTATCAAAAGAATATGGTGTTTTAGAAGTAAAATGCAAACGAAAATAATTCTGAGACCTCTTCCGCATTACTAGTGTTCATTCAAGTTTTCGACAGTTGGCGCTTGGCAACATTCAGAAGAGGCTGGTCGGACGGGTGATTTTGGATATTGAATTAAAATATGATTTATTTCGAGAGGTTTTGCTCAAAGCCCATTATTACCCTGTATATACTACATAATGACAGTTTGACCTGAATGAACAGTCCCGTCTAATGGTGAATTCTCTATATTAAAACGTTTTGTGTTGTTTTTATTTTTATAATTTGTTGTGCAAAGGGAGCGCGTGCTTCGATCGTCCTGAATATTAGATTAGTGCAATTTGTCTCAGTGTAAGATAATTCTGTAAAAAGCTGCAGAATTATATGTAAAATAGGGCGAGGTCTGAACGATAAACAAACAACGCCTGATAGTTCTGTTTACCTCAGAGATGATGTAAAAAGGCTGGTTTACGAGCTACCAGACTAGTAGCGAGCTACACACACAAAAAAATCTGGCCTTGTTTTAATTTCATTTTGGCCTTTCCTTTAAACAGAGAGATAAAATCGATAAGTTATAACGTGTAAATTGGCTGCAAACGAGGGCTATCGTGTTTTTACGGCCTCTATAGCATAAAATTATATTTCGGTACTGTCCAATTACACTTATAAAATAAAGGTGGTGTAGGTGGCCAAAGAGGACATTTTGCTTGGGAAGAATAAGACTATTAACTCGACGTAAGATTTTAGATGTTTCATTCTTGCACTGTTTTCCACCCTTAAACGTCGTACGGATCTCCCCAGTTAACCGATTTGTGAATGACAAGTTTATTGTTTGATTTCAGTAATCAATTTTAATAACTGGAGGCTACGCTTTAGCCCTGGCTAAATCTATATATTATTCGATTGTCATGTGCTGGAATTCGATAGGAATCACAAAATAGTGCGCAAAACAAAGAACTTACCATCCGTATATGGTTATTTAGTTTGGCTGGTTTCTCTAGCTCAAGAAGGGCAATGTTATTGGCAAGCCCGTTTCCGTTATATCTCGGGTGTATAACTATTCGTTTAACGCGGATAAAAGTCTCGGTCCCATCTAGTTTCCCACGGTTAAATTCACCTAGAAGATTTAAAAACACATGTTAACTATCATAGATGTAGATACATCTACGTCTCAAAACAGTAATAGTTAACTTAATAGCTAATGGCTTATATGAAGACTTTTTTTTTTAAGGTGCTCTCGCCTAGACGTACTGGAAGCTGCTTGCATGCCAGTCAGTGGGTAGCCTACATCGAAGACGTTAATTTAACCAGAGGTTAGTTTGGTCCGCGGAGCAGACTATTGCAGTCAATGAGCAATTTGTGAGTATCCATTGACACAACTACAATGAATAATAATAATAAAATGCACACTTTCAAAATCCTGGATAGAAGGCCTACTTACACTAACTTACATTCTTAGAACCGCCCTTTAACCTTTGTTGAGATGTTATAAGGGAATACAGCTCCCTTGAAATCAAGAATCCACCTACTACTTATTTCAGCGTCCAATGCTATGCACTTGTAACGAAGGACACAATGTTAAAAGTGCTGGATCACAAGGCTTACCAAAACCAAATTTTCTTCTTCGAACCGTCCTTACACAATAGACTATTCTTCAGACATTATTTCAGCAAAAGACCAGACTTTTTATGGGTTTACCACCGTGATAACCCACGCGGGATGTTGGAAGAACACGAGAAAAGCTTGTAATAAAAAGCTTTACATAAGCTTTTCGAGTGTTCTCCCAACACCCCAAGTGGAGTGTCACTCCGGTAAACCCATAGAATGTGTGGTCCATTGCTTTTAGAAAATAACTTGAATTTTTTTACGAGTTTACCGGCACAATAAACCATAGGTTTTTAAACAATCAGAACGCGCGTACTGTCTTAGTTATTTTATAAAAGATGATACATCTCTCTTAAAATCCAGAATCCACCTATTAACGAGGAAAACGTCAGTCGTCATTGATGATAATGAGCATTGTTAAAGGGACAGTGTCCCGATTATGCGCACGCGCGAGCGTCATCTGTTTTTTCTTCAAAAGACAATAGAACTGTCAAATTGACTCGACAAGATTTCCTTCCGGACCGCACCGCCGACAGAGATTTGTTGTTTATATTCTCAAGTAATATTTTAGACTTTCGAAGAAGTCTTTCGTCTTATATAAAAATTTGGCTCGCGGTTCGAAGAATCATCGCGATTTTATCGCTAGCTGGGCCGCCTCGCGACCCGAAAATCTCGTTCCGTTCGCTTTAAAAACATATTTTCTAATTTGAAACTCGTGTCAGAGGTCAATAGCTCCAAGTCCAGTAATATCTGCCTGATTTGCTCGCGTTCTAGCCTCAAACGTTTGAAAGACATAAATAAAAATGCAATCTCAACGCTATGATTCATCACAAAGGTTAGTCAAAAATGATATCATGATTTCATGTCACTAGTTTTTCAAAACATGTAGCGCCTGTTTGTTCGATTTTGTCGGCCGTAGGGAGATTCATTTAAAAGTTTACTAACGCGTTGTTGCAAAACATTCTGCTTCACGAAGCTCCCCTCCACAAGATCTCCTCAGTCACATCAATGTCTCAACGGTTTCTTTCTTACAGTCTTTATTGTTGCTGTTTCATTTCTGCGTATTCCTTTCACAATTATCTGAGCTTGTATGGAAGCTAGCAGAAGAAATAAGCCTTCAATCGGCATCAAAGTGGTTCCAATCTTTTGGTCCTCCGGCCAACGGCAATAAAAGTAACGCCAAAAAATCCAGATTTTGCCCAAATCGAAACTTAACAGGAACAATATATCATTGATCTATAATCCTGAGGAGTTTTAGTGTCGTATTGAATCCGGCCAAGCGCGATGCAAACGGATTTTTCAAGATTCTCTTACTCTCCTCGCATCTTTTGATTTCGCGACATCCTGTCCAAAAATCAAAGTTTGGTGCATGCGCAGTAACGGGATACTGTTCCTTTAATAGAAGATAAAAAGAGGAGCATCTTATGAGGAAATTTCTACTCTTCTATTCTTAGGCCTAACAAGACCAATCATTAATTTGGGGAAGTATTAATCCAAAGGCAAATTATTTCTGGATAGAAACAGAAGTCGTTAACCCAGTCTTAAACGGTGGAACAGACCTAGTGATATTTAACAATTATTCCACGAGAGCAAGTTGGATATGAGGTGATAGATAGACAACTAGGCGCGTACGCCGATCCAACACGCGCTAGTGGAATGATTGTTTTATTAAAAACGCCCAAAAAAAGAGAATTCTTGCCGACTTTATTTGTAAAAAAAGAATTCATCTTGTTTTTAATTCAGAGCAGACGCGTACAGTTACCACATGTGGAGAGCATGGTATAATGGCTCATAATGATGGATAAGCCAATCAGAGCTCTAGAATTGTATTATCCAATGATTCAGTTTTTAATAAATAATTATAACAGTCGAACCTCCATTAACGGCACCTCTCTACAACGGCCATGCACCCTTTTTTTTTTGTTCCGGCGGACAGTCCGTGCATTCACTGATATTTAAACCTCTGTACAAGGGCCACTACAGCGTTTCTCTAGCCAAAATAACCTCTCGACTACGGCCAGTTTTTTTCAACAACTGACGAAATTAGCCAGGAAAGGTCAGGAAGTTTTATCCATATCGCGCGTTGATGATCTATATATGTTATGAATGGATTACCATTATGGGATACAGTAAGCATGAACTAAAAACAGTTTGCCCTATTACACCCTCCTCATAGCGGCCACCTTTTCACAACGGCCACTTTCTTCTGTCTCCAAAGTAGCCGTTGTGGAGAGGTCATGGAAACGTATTACAAAGCCTATTGAGATGTCAGCATGAGAATAAAAATTTGCATATATGAAGGTAGCTTCTTCTTACGCTAAGACTTAAAGCAGATGCTTTAAAAGTAACCAGGTAAAACTGGCGAACATTCTAACTTACCTAGGACCAGTCGAAGTCTGCTTGGTTTCATTGGTTTCGCGCCTTTTTTTACTTGAAGGACATTGGCCACTGTCAGAACCCATCTCGATTTGATGAGTGCTCCGTTAAAAAGGTAATATCCTGTTCCTGAAATCCATCAGACGACGATTAAATGTACCTAATATATATTTTTTTTCTTTTTCTTCTATAGCGGAATATTTGCCCAGTGAAACAAAAATAACCTATTTGTCTAGTTACACTTAAATTGCACCGTGACCTATGGATATCAAGAACCGAAACAGGGCAGTGCCTAAAAGCTAAAATGCCGGTCATACTTGATGAAACGCTAGCCGATTTTGTCCTCCTTGCCTTTGAGGTATATGTGCAAGTAGACCTGAAAATTCAACACACTGGGGGGGTGGGGGGGAGGGGGGTGAGGGGAGCGAGTCTCCTGTGTTTTCAAGAAGTGTCTCAATGAATTACCTTGTCGAGAGAGCTATAAATTAAACTCGCCTGACCATGGTAGCTTACATTAAATAATAATTAAGTATGAGGATAAATTTGCAATCTTCGTAATAATATATTTCCTTTTCTTTCTGTAATATTTATTCTGTGTGGCAAACGTAAAATTAAAATAATAAAAATAAAAGTTTTGACCGTGACTGTGGGCTATACGTAGGATTATAAGAGTATTAACCCAGTCAAAATTTCGTACCCACTGATATGCTCACGTGTTTTTCACTTTCAAAAAATGGAAGAGATAGAAGAGAGAATTTTCCAGCAATATATTTCCAATACAACAGGGATTAATATTCTCGGGCAATTCTTACTGATAAATGAAATCAAATAGTGAAGTAACGTTCTTAAAATATAAACAACAACAACACAAAAAATAGAGAAAAACTGAAATCATTTCCTTTGAGTATCATCCGGCTGGACTATCCAGCAAGCAATTTCCCCGTGGGCCCAATTTTCGCGGTTCTTCGATCCCTTTGCGCTCTTTCTATTACAAAATAAACAGCGTGTTATTTATATTTTCATATAGACGAAAAATTATGTAATCCTCTTCATGACTGGTCGCCTATTACTTGTCGCTTAGTATTCAGTGTCATGAAGAGTGCCTGTAAACTTAAACAAGAGCTACTATACAAGAGCAGTTCGTATTACAAAAAATATATATATATATCAGCATTTGCATCTTTGGCCCACATATCGCTGAAAGTAGCCATTCGGCACAGTCGTCACTACAGTATTGTCTGCCATGGCCTCGCCAATGTTTATTTGGGAGGAAATCGCTCTATCTTCTAGCAAAACAGGAAGCATTATTTTCTGGAAGAACTAGGCAATCCAGGTAGAAGCTTATTCTGTCGGGAATTCGCATGATTAAGGATAAACAGCGTACTCCCAATGTAATGAGCATTATAAGAATGCTTTCAACTGTCAGCTTTCTGCTTAAATAGAAAAGGAAATATCAAGACCCAGCTAAATTTGACGACGACCGATATTATTCATCCCAGGGTAGCTTAGTTACTCGTCAGATCGTGGTTAATAGACCATATTACAGTCGTCGACTTAGTACCCTAGCCTTCGAGTAAATGCGACGACGGTGACCTTGTTTTGATGCAAACCTCCTTTGCTTTGTTATGGAAATACTAGTTAGCATAAGAATAACTTGATTTACATAATAAAGCCTCGCTTCCATTCATAACTGTAAAATGGCCTATTCACCGCTTGGAAGAAAAAGACAATCCGAGAATAACTTTCGTAATTTAGTTTAAGATTATGTCGTAAATTTATATCCTAACTTAAGATGCTTAGTGACCATTGTGGGAGGCGTGTCCTGCAAAAGCTGTGTTTTACGGACTTATCCTCAAAGAAATAACGTATCAGACTTGACTCATAAAAAAAAGAAACCAATCCCTTTATCTAATCACAATAAGCTCAACCTGAATGCAGACTTGTGGAATTAATGTTATGATTTTTGCGTTTGCAAGTAATAAGGTTTATCAGATCTAAATTGAGAAGAAATTTTAAAAAAGGCGAATAAAATCTCTGTGTAAAGGTTTATAAAATCAACATCGCAATCCAGTTCTAAGTTGACGCTGAAAACTATTGCAATTTCGTTCCCGTTAAGCGTAAAACTGATCGACGATCAGACAAGTCACTGACACTGTTCCGGGTTTTACGATTCCCTGCCCTTTTTTTCGGCATAACGCAGAAATAGTGAAAAAGGGGATGTTTGAACCAGAAATTGACTCACTTTGAAAACATTTTGTCATTTGAGAGTTACAAATTAATATCTCAGAGTAATATATACGTACTTGTGTTGGCGTAAGATATGGCTACTTGCCAAGGCCAGGCTCCATGTGAAGATGATATCCCACCAACAATTCGCCTCGTACGAGTCGCATTCTTCTGTCCTAATGTACCGCATGTGTATGGTGATAGCTTCTTCTTTTCTGTAACAAAAGTAGTAGGTAAGATAATGGTCGTAACTTCTTATTCCTTGCAACAAAAGTACTAGGTAAAATATCAATATCATCTAAAAATGGCAAGAGATAGGTTAACTTATTAATCTGTCAACCATCGAAAAACGTTCCAATTTTAAACTCACTGACACTGGCCACAATTCTTGTCGCACGAACATTTATCACGAATTTACTTCAAAGACCCAAAGCCGCCTGAAACGTTACCAACAAGTATGTCACGGACAGTTAGACGAATGTAGACGGTTGAAAAAAAGGCGGGAAAACATGGCTATTTTACCAAACAAGCTACACGTTGGTTATCAATTAAAAGATCGATCGTCGATCAAGGGTTTTAAAATTTCCTAGCTACTAATCTTACATTCACCGTTCTTGTGTTATCAGGTAGGCTTAAAAATCAAAAAATAAAAGCTGATATTTCCCACTTAATACTGACTCCAGTCTATCAAAAACCTATTTATCGAGTCGACATTTGCAACCGAGTTATTTACCCTTTTGGTTATTGCTTGTTGTTGTTTTTACCACTTACTTTTCATAGCCGTGGACAAGTGTTTCTCAGAAACGCAGTATTTTCCGTCGCCATAGTAACCTGGATTACACTTGCAATGAAATGAGCCAATGGTGTTTAAGCAAGTGGCTTTTCCATGGCACAGATGAATATGCTTTACTCGTACGTCATTGTTGTTAGTGTATGGGAGTATATAATCCTCGTACTCGCGGCATTCGTTGATATCTGCGTAAACATTGTAACAATATTCGGTCACCTCTAAGTTTAGAATCAGAAGAATAGAAGGTGGCGCGATAGTTTAATAGGGTTTTATATATATGTCCCCTTCTCCTCAAAAACCGACAATTCCAAATTCCATTTCAATCAGTTTCATGGTAAACAAAAACTGACAAGGGAAAATGCGCTCTAACGCCAAATAATTATATTGAGTGAATACGTTGCTAACAGGTCTGCAGGTAATCGAGGTGAAGCTATACGAAAAACAAAATGAAATAGTTGTGAAGCATTTTTGTTTTGAAAATTATGGACACTTAAACAACGGGACGGTATATCTGTGACTACAATTCTAAAAAAAAACATGACTTTCAAAAACTTTAGATAATATTAACAACGACTGTAACACATTCACTTGGCGGTTCTTCGACTGATTTTATTGATCTGAATAGGTTTTATAGAGAAAAACAATTGTTGGGAGAAGCGTCTCTGTTAAGAGTAAGAATGAGGGAGGATCGGACAGCAAATCTGAACGTTCTTCAGGTATGCAGTCAACTCTCTCAGCCAAACCCTTACTAAACTTGAAATCACCAGGATACTAAGTGTGGGATAAAGTTAACTGAAAAGTTATTGTACTCATTCCGAATTTGTGCAGTTTATTTAATTTGAATATATTATTTTGTCATCACATTAATATTATATTGTCATTGTCATAATTATTATCATTATTATGAAAGAATTTATTCATATCACAGTGATTTGCATATGGTTCACAATGGTTTAACAAACCTTTGCAAGTGGGCAACGTTCCATTCCACTTATTGTTCTTCTGGCAACTTCGAAAACGGGTTCCTTCTGTCAGTTTAAATCCAGGATTACAAAAATACTCCACAGTCTCCTTATAGCTGAAGTCCTCTCCTACCCGAAATCCATTCTTCGGAACACCAGGGTCAAGACATTTTCGTAAAAAAGCTAAAAAATTAAATCAGTATTTTTGATCAGTATATTGCATGTACATGCCCTTTAGACTTATGGTTTCAGGGCAAGCATGTCTCAATCCTAACCCACTTCAAGGGTCTTATAATAATACTGGCCTGATGTTCACAAAACCTGTTTCCCTTATAATTTATGAAGCAATCGATGAAAGTTTTCATTAAAATTTCACCCCCTAGCTGTGCTTTTTTGTCTTTTTACGGAAACGAAATGTAAGAATTATTAATTCTTTCCCATTCATGAGACAGGGAGATAGGAAAAAGAGAGGATGGATTGGGGCAAAAAGGCAGCCATCCTTTTGTCTGAAATTGTATTCTAAAAACCCTTAAACAATTCTCAGTCTTCTAGAACCTTAGTTATCAGACACAGTCACTGGCAGTGGTCTTTAACCAATAAGCAAATAGTATCTCTATTGTACACCTGGTACACCTCCAGGCGCTTTATTCCGAATTTTCGGGACCCCCCATGGTTCCTCTCTTCCGTTTCAACTTACCGCCATTCAAGAATAAGTGTACCCAACAAAATGGACTAAAAGGCGCAAAGTAAGCGGTATCTATTTTTATAGTAATATATAGTATAGTGTATGTTACAAGTTGAAAACGCAATTACGTGACTTTTATGGATGGCTTACAACATTTTAAAGTGCGGTGACCGAAAACCGCCCTTTTTCCCTCAGGCGCAACATAATAGGATCATTCTAACTTCTCAGCACATAAAAAGCTCAGAAGACCACACCTCGCTTTTTTTTGCACGAAACTAATTATGGCTTCCTCTAGTCATAATTAGATAATACTCGAGATGCCATGCAAAACAAACAAACAAACAAACAAAAACAAATAAAAGAACGAAAGAACAATATTCTTACCCCTCTCATCACTGTAAAGTCACCAAAAAAGGAAGACGACTGACGCCGCAGATAATAGCAAACCGGCTTTTAAAGTGGCCTTTTCAACCCTTAACAATCAATTATTTTAATCCTGATACAGCTGACTCTCCCATAACGGACACCTCTGTAAGACCTAGAGTTGGTCCCTGCCTTTCTTTACCCCCTTTACTTGACTCTTTATAAGACGGGTATCTCCCTAAGAAGGCCTCTTAGTGCGGGTTCCAAAGGTGTCCGTGTTATAGAAAGAGGGCTGTATTCGAGGTGTAATCTTTTTGCCCTAATCGGCGCGTGCGCAATATATATGGCTTAGAGGTTACAATCCCCAAAAAGGGAAATTATAAGGGTCTCTCGCCCTTTTGTAAACGACGATGGAACTAAGATCGACCCTGTAAGTTTTTGTTTATCTTAGAGGAAGAAAAGTTGGTTAGGTATGGTCGATCGACAACATTTAATTAGTCACCGTGTTTTGCGTTCAAGCAAAAAAATAATGATTTTTTACCTATGAAAAATAATTACCTTTTTTAAAAATATTATTATTATTATTTTTCACACAGGGAAAAAAGATGAGGACCACTTATACATTTGAGTCAACTTTTTTCATCATAATGATTATTATTATTAAAGATTTCTTTTCCTTTTTATTTATTTATTTTTCTTTAGTAAGGTGGGGGAGGTGGGGTAAGAAAATAGTGTTACAGTGCCTAACGTTGCCTTGTTAATATTTAGTGCGCGCTTCTGGTTGTACGTAGTCAAAACATGTGGCTGGTTATCATTATTTTAGGAAATGAAAGTTGAATACACCAATTATTATTTAAACGATTAGTCCATTGCACAAAGTGGAATCAAAGAAAATCTGGGTTGTTTTACCGCTGTCTCTACCCCTAGGTTATTCCGGAAACGCGCAATGGGATAGAGGGTAAAATAAATCAACATTTCTTAGTTTCCTGTTTACAGCTGGTCAATGAACAAAAGTCACCGTGCGCGCGACTCAACCCAGCACGATAAATGAGGGAAACGGGAACGGTATATTGTTACTGATAGTGAAAGACACTTCTGTGTGGGGTCTAACTCTGACAAGACAAAATGCTTACAAATTGAAGGCATTCTGTGTTTATTTTACCACAGTAAATTATCTTGAATACATGTTTTTGTTCAATTTCGCCTTGATGATAGTAATCGAATATGTTTACTTATGACCTTGATAATTTTGTGTTAAAAATCTACCATCCGTGAAAACAGCGCTTATTCTTTTCCATGGCGTAGAAGGCACTGCAGAACTACTGCTTGTACAGAATCCATGTATTGCGACATTAGCGAGTATAAATTGCTCTTGGTAAAAGTCAGTGGAAATGAAAGGCTGTGTCGAAAGCGAGAAGTAACGGCGGATTCCCCAGTCTGTTAACTTCCCTTTCCCGGCCCACAGCGCAGTAATCCCGTGGCTTGAATTTACGGTTACCCTCTAATTACAGTCGCCATGTGACCTAGGGAAAGATGGTTTGATTTTTGTGGAAAGGCATTTGAAAAGGCAAAAGGGCCACGTTTCTGCATTCAACTTTCATATGTCTTGGTGCGAATTCAAATTTTTGGATTGTGTGCAACGTGCACTTGACAATTAGCAGGTATCCTCTGAACGAGTCCTCGACAGAAAACAGAGTAACTGGCCGAACTATTTATACGCCAGGGATTACGAAACATTACTCAGTTATAAGCGTGTATCCGGCCAGTAACCAACATAATACTTTATTGAATACTTGTGTGATAGAGATAACAGTTTATGATCACGATTGATTTATTAAATTACTTAGAAGCGTCCTGAAGTATCTTAATTGAATCCTCGAGTTACTGAAAATACACCAGCTACAAAACATTAAGAATGTGGTGTTACTTACACTTAATACAACCAGAATACAGAAAGTGCCATGAGGAACAAAAAAAAAACAGTTACTCAGAGTGTTAGAGGGAGATAACTATCAAATACTTTTAAAATTGTCAGCATATGTGATAACTATCAAACGCTTTTTTACAATAAGGTAAACATAAGCATATATTATTGTAGATAAAATCTGTGGCTTTCTTGTTCTAGCCACAACCTCACAGGAGAGCAATATATAAATTACCCAGAAAAAACAAACCATCATTGAAAGTGGTATTAATCTTCTGGAGTTAGGGGAGCGATTTACGATAACTGGCGCAACTGAATACTGTAAACAAATCGAGGTTTCAGTCGATGAATAAACGTGTGCTGAAACGTAGGTTGATACAAAGCATGCAATAACGATTTTTTCATGTTTAAGGAAAAGTACTAGCGCTCTGAAATACAGTTAAAATATTTATTGAACATGGTCATGGATGGATACTTCAAGAGTTTCGATTTATTTGGTTACGAAATGCCGTAATCCTCCACAGTGGAGATTTCTAGCTAACTCGGTCAGTGACTCAGTGACGCATTCACTCCAATTTGGAATATATAGGTGAAACCTGAATCAAAATAAGCTTTTACAAAGGAAGCAAAACAACTTACCTTTAGATGATGTCTTTCCGAAAGAGCTCACTTCCCCGATTCTCAACGCGATTAACCCTAAGAAAAATATCAAAGAGTGGTTCGGCAGGGCCATTTGAATGAAGGACTGTCTGATCGCGTTGAAAATATTGCCAAAGCGTTTGTCTTATTCAAGGAAATGCTGGTCTTTCGGTCTTCTCTTGATTCCTATCAACTCAGCGCTCTTGTCGCACTGTTGAACAGTAAAGCTTTAGGAGAAAAAGATACTGCAAACGGCATTGAGCACTTTTATCTTCAGAGTCTGTAATAGGAAACCAAATCTATAAGATATATGAGGACGTACGTGCACCGAAGTAATATCAACACCCGATGGGAGGTCCTTGGTTTAGTTTCATGGCACAAGCAGCAGCTGCCTTATGCAAAAGAGGTTTTTATCGCTTATTTCAAACTTATAACATCAACAAACTTTTAATTCCCTGCTAGTGAAATGTGAGCTAATTAGACGTCAACATCATAATAATGAACCTCCAATGAGCCTAATTTACCTTCAAGTCAATCCAGGAGTTCAGACGGTTTAATCGGGTTCGGTAAGTTCTGAAACGGATACTTATATACTTATCAGTGATACTTTGGTCACGATGAATCAACACGGCTTGCTTTTTTCCCTCTTTAACGAAAGCAATCGGAAGTCCAAGGTCACGAAATGGAGAGTCGGCTCTATGCATTTCAATTTGTCCGATTCAACCGATAAGTGTGGTTTTGTAGTGGTAGAATTTGGATGGCTAAAACTTTTCAAGTACATACGAAAAGGACAATTGTTCAATTCCGACTTCCTACAATACAAATTCGATTTCAAAGTGGTTACAGTTAAAATACAGATTACAAAGATTATTTTGGAAAGTTTTTTTTCAGTATGCTTATACCACATGTTCACAGCGTGCGATGGTTTTAATCTGGTCTTTCGTATTGTAGAGGACCATGCCTAACTAATGAAATCATCTCACGAGCAAGGAACACATACCTCGTTCATTTGTGGAAACAGCATATACATCTGAGTCAAATTTAGCAATCAGGACAGAATGAATGAATGGGCAGGGATGAAGTTTTGCGACGCCGTAAGAGAAGCTGAAAACAAAATAAAATGGAGGGAGAAGAGGGTTGCAACGCCCGTGGCGCCCCAACGGTCATTGACTACGGGATAGCTGATTAGTTTTACTATAATGTGCCCTTCTCCATTCAAATTTTCTTCTTTTATTATCATTATCATTATTATTTACACGTATTTTAAGCAACTTTGTACCAATTGATATTGTACAACTAATGTATTATTAATATTGTACAACTATTGTATTATTGTACAACTAATGTATTATAGGATGGAGTAAAAAATACAAATACAAATACAAATAGGTGCAGGGTGCATCCCAATACCCAGATAATAAGTGTCCAATGCATCCTTATGCTCTACCATCAACTCTAAAGATAAAATTTTTCTGGAGAAGAGACCTTAATCGAACCTCCTTGTCAACTCAGCTTTCTTCATTTTTTTTTTTTTTTTTTTTCATCATCGCGCGTATGCTACCCGTATGGCACTGCACATATCCTCATCTTTGTTAGTCCTTGCCTTCAACTATGTCTAGATCAGATCATGAGCCCATGCCTTTTGCTTTATTTAATATTTATTTATTACTGATTCATGGTGTCTTCCGGGAGCTGGCCCCACTGCATAGAGCAGGTGTCATGTGTTTTGTCGGTATCTACAGCAAGCAACTACTGTTTGTCGCCCTTTTTTTTTTTTTTTTTTTTTTTTATTGTTTGTTTTTTTTTTTTTTGACCAAGGTATGAAATTTACCATATTTATTAGACCGCTTCGGAATTATACCAGATAATAAATATCCTGTTTAAACAATTTTCTCCAGTCTTCAACATGTAGCTGTTACTGGTCCTCTGTAAGACATTTCATTCCAATTTCTCAATGCCTAATCTGCCTCATTGATGGTGATGGTGTAATTCCAGATACATAGCTAAATATGATGTCTCATATTTGCCCGGCCGGTGACGTCATTTCACCAATACTGCCAGAATCCTTTCATGTGCTGGGGCTTTTTATTCTTTCTTGCATGCTGAGATTACCAACTTTAAATAAAAGTTCTTCGTACTGCGAACATAGAGATCAGACCATGTCGGTCAGGTAGTCCGCTACAAGAGGTAAAAACGATAGAAAATTATAACAGTGGGTATCTCAGGGTATCGTCGCTTACGCGGCCGAGAGGTGGTCTTTTACGCTAGGTTTTAACTATAGAAAATGATAGAACGTTGAATGAAAAAAAAAAAAAAATGGAGGTGTGTTTTTTGTTAGGAGAGGTGGTCGCACATGATGGTTCGACTGTATACAGCTTTACAATTTGATACAAGGCTGATAAGGTTCCATAAAGTGTAACCGCTAAACGGCTGAAAGGGCATGCAAAAAAACTGCGATTCTCGTAAGATTGTTATCCAGTCCGTAGATAATTTTGGACCTGGCGCTGGCGATGTTCTCGTGTCAATTGAAATTGGTTAGAGACAACAAGCAGGTGATTTTATGATATTCCCAAATAAAAAAAAACGGTAGCAATTCTTTATTTTAGAAAAACGGCTTCTCTTACTATTATGCATGTACCCGCCGAGCCTTACGCTGGATTTTCATTGTTGTTTTCACGGGCGAACCCACGTCAATAAAACTTCCGAGCCCCAATCAATACATATACGTACAGGATGTATGGAGATCCGCGCGTGACCTTCAAAGTTGTGCGAAGTCAGGAGGCTCCTGGCGACGTTTAATTTTTACCTTTAACTGACGCGCAAGCAGCTTCTATCAATCGCCTCTGTTTTATTGACGTGCCTACTTGCTTACACTCATGAAAATTACCCGACAGGGGAAATCGACCGATACTCAGAATTGAAGAGGATACGGCTGGAATTTGAAAAGTAATGAAATCGCTAAGATCTGCAGAAGAGTCAGCAAGCAGGTGGGGTGGGGGGGGGGGGGGGATGAGGCGGGGGGCTGTCATGTATCGAGTGAAAAAGGCCATAGTACTGCCCATCGAGTTTTAAATATACCGCACCCCTATTTCAATTTGGTCAGGTGATAAATCCTCTGCATATGAACTGGGAAGACTCTTACGCCAAGCATATGATTACAGCTAGGAGAAAACTCGATGGCTGCACTACAGGGCTCTAAATGATAAAAACGTCATGTAAGACTCCATACTATAAATTATGGATTGACTCACAACAAGAACAAGCTTTATTGGCATGCCATAAAATTTGCGGTTATGAAAAAGCGCACAACTACGTAAAAAAAAATTAAAAAATGAAACATTTCTGAAAATTACATGTACTAGATAAGAATTCATCCCGAGCATTACAACAAGATGATATTAAATTTATAATTCTCTGTTAATAAGACACCAAGTAGATTTTGAAGTATATTCTTCTGCTTCATTGAACCTGTTTGCCCCATGCCATAAAGAGAATACAGCCAATCAAAGAGCTACTGAAAACCGTTGATTTTTCTACGGCATCCAACGGTATTTCGTCGAAAAATATGCAGATGATACATGCGGTCTCCACTTTTTCCCGCAGGCAGGCAAAACATTTCATTCTACCAAAATTTCCAGTTGCAATTTTGTAAACAACACGTTACTAAAACTATTGCATAAAACACGAGTTTTATGTAAATGTAAGACGGAAATCCAGGGGAAATCGATTTGGGTTCGAGATAGCACGAGGATCGAGTTAGCGAGGGTACAATTCGGACTTCTAAGTCAAAGTCAAAAAAGTATTAGTTATATACGAAATCACACAGACTATCTAATGACGGACAAAGAAGTTGACTAACAAGGACAACAAAAGTCGGTGAATTTTGTTTGGGCTTGTTCCAAAAAAAAACGTACAAAAACTTAATTAACAAAAAAGGCTTAAAAAACTATCGAGAAAACAACAAACCTTTTTTGGCAACGTGTTCGAGATCAAATGTCTCTACAGATTTAAGGGGTAAGTCTGGGTGTTTTGGGGGGAAATGATGTTGACTTGATGTTAATTTAGAAAGGAAATAAAGCAGGGTACAAAAGATGTACAGATAAACTACTAAGTCTGCTACTGGGATCAGAGACACCTTGTTAAAATGGTGGACTATCTGGCTGGTGTTATTTGTCTGGTATATGTATTTGTAATTATTCACCTCACATTTTAATTTTTTAGTAACCCCAAATCTAATATTTTCCAATTTTCCCAAATTTTCAATACCACCCCCCAATTTTTCTACATTAAAAGCATTCAAAGAATCGTCTAAAATTATTGGACCAAGGACTCCGAACTAATTGAGTCATTATTTGATTGAATGAAATCTTGGCTTGATATTTAAGAAAAAGCGCCAAAATAAACGAAAAACAATGCTTTTCACCAGACTTCCCCGTTTAAAACTCCCGCCAAAGGGCATTTCTTAAGGTCAAACCTTCGCAGGCGAATTGAGTGTAATTGAAGTGCCTTCATAACATTTCTCCATTTGTTTGTCTACGCCAGAACGTGAGAGGAATGGATTAATCACTATATGGCGATTTTGCAGTGGGGTGATGTTACGTTAAGCTACGTACTCGTAGCGGTAGATTGATATCGATAGATCTTCTTTAATTTTACCCCAGACAAACGGCCAAGTTACCGGGAAAATCTGTAATGCCAATATCACAACTGGTTGCCTTTTATATGACTATACTTGGACAAACATCTTAGCCTACCCGTAACCGTGGAGAAAACAATATAGCATTCAGTAAGCTCTCTAGCTAGCAACTGTTATTCTCGTCCGCGCCCCACCTCAAAGCAAGGGAAAAGCGCTATGGGGACGAGGTTGCTGTTATTTGAAGGAGCAAATACATTGCCTCGAAATTTCTAAAGCTCGGGATAGGTCGGAGTTTTTCTAGTGCTTACCTACAATTTTCGGAGGTTATATTACCAAGATAATCCGATTATAGGTTGAAAATATATCCTGAAAATTCCGCTTAAAAGACAAAACGTCCTCTAGAGTTTTCTAATGAAAGTGCGGATACTCCATATCCTCGTACTTTTGGTCAGACCCTTAACGCCGAGCTAGCAGTTCCCAATGAGATGAAAAAACTTTAGAGCTAGTCGACCAGAGATCATGCATTCAATTAGAATACTATTTTTTAGGGCAACTCCCTTACCAAACAGGCTTCTAAAGTAAGGAAATAGATATTATAGATATATATCATAATGGGGATTTTTCTTTTTTTCTCGAACAATGTACTGCACGTCAGAATTAAATCAATTGAACACTTATTGTTTG